TTGTCCCGTGTGGGAATTGAATCCACGACCCCCGACGCCGAAGCCAAAATACCTTGACGACTGCGCCACGGAGTCACCACGGAGTCACCTAATATGCTATTTCTCTGTAATCTATTCTTACTATTATACACATCTCAATCATAATGATTTGATGGCGCAGCTGCCAAGTTACTGACTTCGGCGCTGGGGGTCTTGGTTTCGATTCCCGCAACAGACAACTATTTGTTTTGCCTACAGATAATTGTTTCGGATCTGGGTGTTTGTCCACGTTAAACCCATATTTGTAAAACGTCCTCACAACACAAGATAACGTTATCCTTCAGTAATGCAATGTTTTTAATAAAAAATAAAAATAAAAAAATTATCACTAAATTAGGGCTCTTGAATTCTCGATGTTAACATCTTTACGAAATACCTCACGATTTAACTGTGAGTTTCGACTACAAGAGCTTCGTTATCGTTTTATTATCTGCGTCCGCTTCGGCCACCGGCAGCGACACTAGTGAAAACTTGTAGTCGACCAATTTGCATCCATCACGCTGATTAACGACACGCCATGAAAACGCCACATTTCGTAACCGAAGCAAGGATACCTAGGAGGCATAGTGTTAATTACCAGGCGTACATAATAATGGAGGCGTTTACGACGTGCAGCAATCTTCGTCGTTCCTGAATGAACAACGAATTGTGGTAATGTTTTGCAACTGCAACAGTTTCTGCTCTTGCACGAATGGGCAGGCGCCTCCGGGGAAGTACGATGGCGTCACAGAAGACCACGGTCATGTGGAAGTACTTTAGCGTTTCGTCTGGTGAGTGAGGTAACCGGGGCTCACTTTTAAGGCTGTCAACACATCTACAAGCCCTCGGTTGCTGTACATGTCCACGGTCGGCGGTGTTCAATTAACATCACGCGAACCGCCTGAACGCTTGACATAAAAAAAATTTCACATAAAAAAACGAGTGTGCTGAAGTAAGACTTCTTTGGCTCTATATGTAATCTGTATCTCCATTTGTATGAATTTACGATTTTATTAATTTTAAAAGTAAAATATTACATGCATTGAACAAAATGTCAATGTATAAAATTGTTCAAGAATGAAAAGAAATTACTTACGAAACAATCAAGAAATGACCGTACACTTTTCGTAACGCTATCGTCACGCATTCACCAGCTTACTCCCCAAGTCAAGCGTGCGTGAAGAAGTTTTACTTCAAAAAGTCTTGTCATTTGTCGTGATGCCTTTAATAAGCTCTTTTTTTTATTTGCATCTGGCCAGCACTTGTCTGCCATCCCACCTAATGGTAAGTGGCGATGCAGCCTTTGATGGTAAGCGCGCTAGCTCAGTAAAAACCTATTCAATCGGTAAGCTCGGTAGGAAGATCTAAACATTGAACATTTGGAGGGGTTGAAACGCTTGAGACCGTTGCAATTCTGCTTGGTTCGCCACCCTCGTAACGGATACGCGTGCCGCTCCTTTCCGTAGACATTCCGGTGGGGCTTCACAGTCGGTGAGCCGCGGCCGTTGTTAATGACGACTCAGTTTTTAAATGCACCTTTCTCTGTCTCTCTCGGCAGTAGAGAAAGAAAGCGAATATTAATTTAAATACATCTTTGCCTGTCTGTGTATAAATAGAGAAAGAAAACTTCAAGACATACCGTTAGGTAAAGTGATGTTATAAAGGAGCGCAAATTGTGTGAATTGTTTGTATTGGGTAATTAAGGAAACTTTTATTTGTTCGTACAATATTCTAGATGGAAATATGCTTTATATAGTATTAATTTATTTAAAACTATAAATTTCATGCAACAGTTTAGATAATTAATCTGATAATTAAAATAGTATAGTTCCTTGACATAACAACTTGCCGACTTTTAACACCTCACAATATTAAACAATTTTCACAAGTCATGGAATCTTCAACGCCTCGTCGCTAGCATATGCATTGATAACTCACTCACCTAGCTTAATGAAAAACGAGAAACACTTCCACTTCCGGTTCTCTGTGAAGTATACATCACCTAATTCTGCCATTCGTGAAAAAGCAAATACTGTTGCGTGACTTTTGATTTTATCTTATTTGGCTTTCACTTATCTATCTTATTATTTGGAATTATCATATATATTATTATCTATCTTATTTGTAATTCATTGGATGAACTGGATCTTGATTACACTTACATACAGTGGCTGAGATAGTCAAAACACTACGGGAGCACAAGGAATAATTTGTGCAAGTCTTTTACGACTGTTTGAAATTATTTGAAAATATTATGGTATTTTATGCACCACTTGTTATATTTAGAAGTGATTCCGAATGCTTTGCAGGATTACATCACAAGTACACTCGAAAAACCTTTACTCATATAATTCACAAAACATTTCGCGTTTTTTCTTAAAATTTCTTTGAAGTCTGCGGTCGTACGTGTCGCTGCGATTCTTAACGGTTGTCTTATAAAATTCGATTCCATACATCTGGCATCGCTCTGCTCATTTTTTCGTGCCACAAAAACATTCGGTGACGGCAATTACTTACCAGCAATTACTGTTTATAATTGCCCAGACGGTTGATTGGCGTGAATAATTTGTGAGAGTCAAAAGTATTGTTGAAACGTGAGACGCTCAAAACTAAGCAGCTACAATTATTCACGCGGTCTAATCTAATTCTTTAAGCCGGCTGGTATGGCCACTGGCAATTAGAGTTGTCCTTTGGCTATATCACATGTTTTAGACGAAACTAAAACATATTAAACTGGCATGAACTGGATATTTAACCATTTTTACTAACGAAAATCAAAACCGACGTCAAATATCTCGCTCTGTATACATTTTATAATTGATATTGGAGGAGTTCCCTATATTTCCCAGTATCTCCAGAGCCAAAGATCCAAAACCAATGAAATTAATATGAGCACATGGGCAGCTTTCAAATAAATAAAGAATCAACAAAATCGGTTCGCTCTGTCTAAATTTATGAAACATAAAAAAGTACAGTCGAATTGAGAACCGCCTCCTCTTTTGAAATCGGTTGAATATATCTTGTATCTTGTATTAACTGATGTTTTTGCTTTCAGTCCCGAGACTATTAAAGCTTCATCGGACGCAGAACCGGTGGGCTAGCCAGAACCCACGGGTTTGGACGTTGAATATAGCAAAAGCTCGGCTGGGGTCTCTGAGCTATGTATTTACTTCGATAACGTGTGTTATCGACTATTTTAGGACAATTTCATCAATGAATGATGTTGATTCGGTGGCACAATAGCTAATTTGTTGGCTTCGGCGGTGGGGTTGCAACTTCGATTCCCACATAGGAATGAACATAACATATTTATGTGCCCCACAGATAATTGTTCCGGATCTGGGTGTTTGTCCCCAAGAATGGTTGACGTCAGGCACGTGACCGTTAGTAAAATACACGGCTAAAAGCACTTACAACGTAATTCGCATATTGTGCACCCTAACTAGGAACTAAAAAAGAACTATCCGAAATGGAATACCCGAATTAAATTTATCCTAATATTTCGAATCTTGGCATTATGACTTTTTTGATGTTCATCGTCATGATGTGACTTTTCCATTAATAAGGAGAAACCAAACACGCAGGCTTAGACAATGCTCTCTATCCGCTGAAACACCGACACTTTCCCATCTTGATATTCATGCCAGACACCTCAGCGGAGTGCAACTTATCCATGCGGTTTCACATCTTCTTGGATAACTACCGCACGTCTAATTTCAATATCGTGCCATTTTGGAATTGAATACGACGTGGGATTAGATGCAAAACTCGGAACTGGTCGCTAACTCACTTGATGAATTGAACATGAGCTGTCCAAATAGTTAATTTGATTTACAATCTCATATTTCTACCCGAAGCCGTTGGCGTCGCGCAAGGTAGTTATTTAGGTCCGATATTATATCCAGCTTATGCGATTGCTATCTAATGCTGAACGCAATAGGCCACTGGTAAACTGATTGACTAATATAAAGTACAACGATTTAAATTCCTATAAAAGTGTCATGGAATTATTTGGTTTGTTGGATGGAAAAAACAAAAAGTATACATCGATCCGTCACTATCATATTACTTTATAAAAATTTTCAGCCTGTACATATCCCACTGCTGGGCAAAGGCTCCTCTCTACAGAGGGTATCAGGGCATAGTCCACCACGCGGCCCCACTGCGGATTGGCGGACTTCACATATCTTCGAAATATTTTTTTTGTAATTATTTCGAAAATATGTAGGTTTCCTCGCGATGTTTCCTTCACCGCTGAGCACGTGATAATTCGGCACTTAAAATTAACAATTTCATTGGTGCCGGCACCGGGGATCGAACTCAGGTTGCTCGAGTATATTGAATGAAAGGCGAGCTATCACGGCTCTAATTTCTTTATGAAATTGTATTATAAAAATAACAAATATTGAAGTTCATTATGTATCTAAATATTATAATAGTTCAATATGTAAAGTTTTAACAAAGCGTTTTAGAAACGTAGCAATTGAACAAGTATATAAATACATTATTTAATTGTTTCAATTATTTTATTCCTAAATTAATAAACCTAACTTAGAAGATCATTCAGAGTGGTCACGCAACAGTGTTTGCTGTTGCACGAATGGACAAGTCCGTCCGGGTACCACGACCTCACAGAAGACCGGCGTAAAGCAGAAGTGTTGCATTTCCGCGTTTCGTCTGGGGAGAGAAGTAGCCGGGGCACACATTATTAAGAGGTGGCAACGCAGATGCCATCCCTTTAAAAGCAACCTTACGGCGTTGCAAATGTCCATGGGCAAGCGGTTATCACTTAACATCAGGTGAACTGCGAGCTCGTTAGCCACTTTCTCAGATAAAAAAAAGTTTAATCAATTAGTCATCGCCAGTTATTTTAAGTGTAATCCTATCCTATTTTATCTAATAATTAACCATATACGACCTTAGCCTCCACAATGTTATTGATTCAAAATATCAGCTAAAGCAATTGCTCTTCTTGTTCACAGTTGCGGCAGTATGCATACTCCTGGAGGTCGGTGCGCTGCCCAGCAGGCGCGCTGGCTTCTGGTGCAACGACCCGGAACTGTCCTACCCCCACACGGGAGACACGTTCTCCATTTCGTTGGTCGCCACCATCACCGTCATCATCCCGTTCATTGTCGTGAGTAATGTCATTGAACCACCGCTGATATTAAAAAAAAATATGTATTATGTTATGTTTTTGTAGTTCAGCAATGCGGAACTATCTCTTGATCGTATTTTTCTTGATCTTGTGTCTTGTGACTTATAATAAAACATATATGCTGTGTACTTGAAACGCTGTTTTGTGATTTCACAGATGTGGGCAGTGGAGACAATCCTCCACCAAGACGACGAATACACAATGAAGAAAAGCAAACTTGTTGCCAGCGCGAAAACTGCCTCTCTGCTGTACAGAGACTACATTTACGGGTCTGTGGTGAACTTGACCATACTGGAGGTTGTGAAATGCGTGGTCGGATCGCCGAGGCCCACGTTTTTCGACTTGTGCCAGCCGGACAAAGCGAAGACGTGCAACAAGTGAGTCTTATTTAAATCAGTAAAGAAGGCGCCCTTATATAAGCTAAATTACAGTTTACATTCAAAGCAAATTGGTTCCAAATTTTAATGAAAAAGACTTCATATCTATCAACATAAATATCAAAAAATAAAATTGGTTTTTATTAAAAAAAAACTGTATATCCATTAATACAGTCCTTCCAGCTTTAAGAGATTGTTCCTTTATTAATTTTATTTCTTTCTCGTTTTTATTACTTAGTTCGGAGTACGTTAGCAGCTACGTTTGCACGTCGACGAAATACTCAAGATATCTGCAGATTGACTCCAGCCGGAGTTTTCCATCTGCCCATGCCTCACTCTCAATCTACTGTGGCCTCTTCATAGCTGTAAGTATCTTATGCCGAGGCAACATTACTTATTGTTATCTTGTGTGAAAAGTCAAGTTCATCAGTTTAAAACCAGTGTACTAATAAGAAAAAGTTGTGAGTTCTTGTATAAGCAGCTCACTCTGTGAGATTTTGTGGTCATTTTTGGACGTTAGCGTTGAAACTTTAAGGTTAAAACTAAGCTCGCGAACAAATTGACAAGATACGAAATTAATGTTCTTATCTCATCATTAAACAAACCTTTACCCCCGTAACCATTTTAATTCACATGTGTCTCTATATAAAAGGCCTACATCGGAAAACTTTAAAAAAATCTAGTTATTAAAAACTGCTCATTTCGTATTCCTTTCAAAGCAGTGAATGGAAAATGAGTTATCAAACCACCATCTTCGTGTAGATCGAGTGATTACGGCCATGATTGTTCTAGTGGTACCTCCAAAGGCGTGCGTTCAGCTGGCACAACCGCTCTGTGCTGATTGTGCCCATCCTGCAAGTGTTGAGCTTGACCTACGCGACCGTCTGTCCGCTATCCAGGCTGACGGACCACCGTCACCACTGGTGGGACGTCCTAGCGGGCGCCGTCATGGGTTTCTTCAGCGTTTTGTATACGGTAAGCGAATAATGTCGATCAATTTAGAGAGGCATTCAAACTTAGTATTAGTATAGACAGTCATTTAATCTTTATTGATATTGATTCTTTCAAATTTAGTAGTGGTATAGACACACATTTGATCTTTATGGATACCGATTCTGCTTGGTGGTTTTTATCTTCGATGCATCGTTTTCTTTCTATTAATTGAGAGAAATGTTACAAGGCTATACCACAGTCCATAATCGGCCAACGTCTATAAAGGAGAAATTAGATTCTTTCTTATTCTGATATGTGTGAAACTAGCAATTGAGCTGGCGTTTCACCCGATGTTACGTGAGAACAGCCATTAATGGACATTTATAACACCCTTAGGTTTGCAGATGCGTTGCTACCTTTTAATAAAGTAAGCTCCGATTACCTCAGTCACCAAACGAAACGCAGAAGAATAACACTGCCACTTTACGCCTACTACTCTGTTTTTTTTATTTATCTTCTATTATCTATTCTATCTATCTATTACTCTTCTGTGAGGTCATGGTACTTCCCCGGACGGACCTGCCCATCCGTGCAACAGCGTATCATAGCGTGAAAGTAAAAGACTCAACGTAAAGCGGAAAAGCTTTAATTTTATATCTTATAGCTAAATCTGTGACGGGGAAAATTTTGTAACTTGGATTTTCGTATCAGTTCTAAACTTGGGTAAGCAGCAAACTCGTGTAATTTGACGTCGAAGCTGATTGGATTGAAAGGTTATAAAAGATTTCTAAAATGCAGTACTATTGTAGGTGCTGGTTCTGTGCAAAAACTTCTCGCGGCCTTCGGTGGTCAGCACTAGCGACATCTCGAGCAGCGATGGCAACAACCACCAGTCGGTTCGGCGGCTGCTGGCCAGCGGGACGAGGGTGGCGGTGCCCTAGCCCCAGCCAGTATAAGCTGGACCAAGGCCGACTGGACCTTTAGTGCTGTTTGAACGGGAACAGGTGCCTGTGAGTTCTGGTCGTTGACGTACAGTCGTAGACTAAAGTAGTGTGGTAGCTAAAAGTAATAGCAAAACTAGTAAAGTTGAAGGTAAAGGTCAATAGTGAAAGACCGAGTCGTGTGGTGTTAAGAAGAAAGAAACAAAAAGAATAATACGAGAACTAGAAGAAAACATCTAAGTCTGAACAACTGGCGCGGATAAGAAATCGAAAAACCGAAGAAGGGAATTAAACGCAGCATGTTCCTCGAGTTAAGATTTGTGACGACACAGATACGATGTTTGGAGACGTTTTAATGGAAGCGAGTGAAATGGATTGTGTAAAAGAAACAAAGAATTTGTAACAGCCCTTTAAAGAGGCTGAATATGTCGCTGCTTTTATAGATCGAACACTCGTAAAGCACTGTTCTAAGTATTGTGAACCGTAACTTGGAGTAATACAAGAGACTGGAGAGAACAGAGAGATGATAGCTGAGATGGGAAAAAGGGCTGTTCGACGTTTGCAATAAAGCCGATAATGGCTTGACTAAGAAAAGCCAACTTGTGACAAATTGCTCTGACTTCTCTCAGTTTTCGACGAGTCGACGCTACGAATAAAGTAATAACCATTGTAACTGTAAGTTAGGGCGTTCAATTGCAAGGGGCCGATGAATTTGAGGCCCCTAGAACGTGCAATGTATAGCAATGAGTGTGCTTAGTTAATTCGATATAGAAACTGACATACGAAGGTAGATTTGTAAATAGGATTGATAGATTTAGTTTAGAAACACGGATAACATGGAATTTTATTAGAACGAACCATTTAAATTAGGCTTTTATGAGATTAAGGTTGGAATGGCACTTTTTCTATTTATGAATTTATTCGCCACATCAAAGTACAATCTTAGTCTTAAATTGATAGGATTCAATTAAGGTAAAAATTAAATAGAGTAGCTAATTAAAATCAGGTATTAACTGGCATTATTGTAAAATAAAATTGAAGTTACGTTTCTAAGCATTCCCCTTATTTCCAACTTCCAGCTTATGTATAAATAATTTTAAGAAGTTAAGGAAGTAGATAAAGTAAAATAATACTGTTCAGGCATCTTTTACTACACGCTGATACATCTGTACCATCACTAGACGTTATCTTAAGTATTTTTAAACCGAAATACTCTAAGATTAATTTAAATATTAAAACCAGTGGTTTCCTAACACAATTTCCGCGTGTTAAATAAACAATGATAAAATTTCTAATAAATACATTCCAACTGAAACTGTATTAATAAAAGCAATTGAATATATTTTAATGAAGAAATATTTTTCAATCCACCTAGTCGATACTAAAATCTATGTTAATATGTTTGATGTAGTTGTAGTATTAAATTAAGCTTTTAAAATAGCTTAAAGTTTTTGAAATAACGTTTATTTGGTAAGATTCATAATAAGTCAATATACGAAATGATAAATAAAAGTTATATAATATTAAAAGTACCTATCCTCTCATATCATTATTATGTACAAAAGTGTTATAAAAGATTTAAAAATATCACAAGGCTCTAAAATCGACTGTTTTCTACAGTTCGCCCCCACAGCATTGAATCTTGCCAAATACTCCATCCGGTTTCCCTTTTCAACTCAGCAAAGCATTCTTAGGAAACCAAGTCTTATTGTAGTTCTACTTAAGCACTATTTATTATTAAATTAATTGTATTAATTTATTTAAGTCCCAAGAAAGTATTTATTGTACAGTACCTGTCTAGTCTTAAGTGATATTCAGTGAGGATTTATTATTTCTATTTTGATACGAAACTAAAATAAAAATGTTTATCATTCGAAATTATATTATCGCCCACCTATTTGTAGTAATTTAATCTTGTAACAGTCTCCTTGTCCGATGTACATATCCGCAGAACAAAGACATTCCTTCGCATTTAGATACATTTCCGATTTATGTAGGTAGTTGTAAATACTTTTTAATAGAATGACTTCTGTACTGTGCCTGTTTGACTTTAATAAATCGCTGATTTGATTTTTCATGGGCAGTTTCATTTATCCTCGACTTTATATTTTATACATCCAACAGTTGGGCAACGGTAAGTTTAAACTGCATCCCCTATTAATTGAAAGACTAATAAATCAGATTAGCATAACCGGCCACGCACGAAGGGTTCCGTACCATTATCTATAAAAACGGTTAAAAAAATCATGCCTTTTGTATGGGAGCCCCACTTATATATTTTTTTATTGTTTTTTAGTATTTGTTGCCGCTATAACGGCATCATCTGTGAAAATTATAACTGTCTAACTAACTGGCTAACTGGTGACAGACGGACAGATAAACAAACAGCGGAGTCTTAGTAATAGGGTCGGGGCCCTATTACTTAGGCCCTTACTATTACTAAGATTATTATTAAGATTTTATCCTTTGGGTACGGAACCCCAAAAAAAAGATTAACTTTGGACGTTTAGTTATAGACTGGCCGTGTTCAAAATTTAACTAGGTAACTACTTTCTTTTAACGATACTGCTTTTGGTGACTCCTATTACTGATGTCTTGGATTATGCCTAGTTCCGCCGGGAGATTACAATTGTATAGTAAAGTGAGAAAGTATTACATCTGCTTTGTCTTGGAAAATTTTACGTTAAAATCCAACATTTTTTTTCCTGGATTGGTCTTCTCTATAATTCCGAAAATCTTTATTACCAGCCTCAGATCCTTCTTCTGAAAGCTGTAGTTAATATCACGAAGTATTCAAATAACGATGTTTTTTTTGTCCATGTAAGTAATATCATACGTTGAAAATCTCTGACTAACTAATAATAAAAATGATTTGTTTTAAATTCACACAAAGCCATTTTTATACAACGTTCTCTAGTCCAAAACTAAGCAACGGTTGTACTATGGCTACTAGATAAATGGTAAACATACTTCTATTTTTGACTAAATACATATTAGAGGAGGCCTTTGCCCAGCAGTGGGACATGTGTAAGCTGTTACTTTACTTTTTACTTTTACATATTATAAATATATAAACGCGCAGACACTGGAAAAACAACATGTTTATCGCACTATACTTTTCCAGCAGTGCAGATCAAACTCACACTCTAGTGCAAGAGGCAGGTGCACTTCCTACTATGCCAATCGGGTCAAATTGAAACGCGTTAAACTAATCGATTAATACATAATTCAATCGAGTGCAGGTGCAATCGCGTCTCGTCGCTGAATGTATATCGATTCGACTGATAATATTAATACTCGTCTTTAGAAACCTGTTGATATAGCGAATAAATAAAATACAAGAGACATGTATAAATCACCACCGAAAGACTCACTCAAAGATTCACGGTCAAACGGCCCCCATATAAATGAATCCATCAAAACTTCTCATCGAGGAGGAGTGTCGGGACAATAGGGTTCCGTGCTGCAATTGGTAAAAACGGAACACATAGAAACACATTCTTGTCCGTCTGTCTGTCTTTTGAAGTTAACACTATTTTTGACCACCAGGCAGAGGTACCAAGTAATTTATTTATACCAAAGTTTACTATAGTTGAGCTTTTTTTGCTATACAATTTGATACTCTCAAACTCTCGTCAAATTATATAGATCACAAAAAATATTACGATATTTTTATTATTATATACCTATTGGTAATGAAATATTTTGGAGTTGAGATAACAAAATTACATTCCATTCTCGAAATCGTATTAAAGAATAATCGTATTCATAATAGTAATATTTTTAGTATGTATCAATCAAATAGTATAATGAAGGAAAAAAAAACTATTTATGCACATTAAATTTGTACAAATCCTCAGGTTAAAGTTCCCTACTCACACTTATCTGGTGTTATAATAAAAATATTAGTATCGACGATTGTCTTCAAAACAGTATACAGGACTAAACTTTACTTGTACGTGATAAAGGCGAAGATGCCGTGCCTTATCGTTTACGCGCAGTTACTTTAAAATTATAACCCCACAAGCTCTCCACGGGGTTCTGGGTCATCGGCCAGGCCCGCATTATGAGTAATAACTAATTTGATTACAAAAAATATCACCTAATCATTCAATATATGTAACTTCTTGAACAAGGAGTATTGGGGTACGGAGTTACGTGGTAATAGTAAGTAGGAGCATATGTTATATGTCATATTGACATACTCCCTAATCAAGTCTTCAGCTCTCAGTTAGGTGTCATATAATGTCAGTTCAGTTCAGTTTCAGTATATGCCAGTACAAGCATATAAATATTTTACGCCAAAATTTCAATATTATAAAACAATTCTAAAGAATTAGCCGAAAAGCTCGATTGCTATATTTAAGATTAATTTGGCCGATCTTTTGACGAAGGAAACTTAAGTGCCGCATTTTAAATTTAACCCATCGAAGCGGGGTGACTATGTTCTTTGCTAATATATCATTAGCAACAATATTTTTAGATGATTCTTCTATAATTATCTTTTGTATACAAACTGTTGTAATAAGAATTTCACCGTGATTTATTTTAATTTTAAATTCCTAACGTTTCGAACATTTTACTCCGTTCATCATGGGACAGAGTGTCTGTAAACCAAATAGTTTAATTTGAACATAGATGGTTCCTTCGAGGGCTCGTGTCCAACTTTCTATTTGTTCTAATTTATCGTTTAAGTCGTATTTTTACTGTCAACCGTAAACACGACATTTACGAAGCAGTTCGCCGCCCACCAATTTTTATACCAGCTATCTCGGTATACCTCCAAATTTTTATAATTACTAGTATTATAATTTAAATGTCTCCTGTGTATTTCAAAGTAAATACCAAATACAAATATTAAGTACGGAACAGCTAATTATAAGATACCTAATTAGTCAAATAGTCTTTCCGTCTGCAGGTTTATTCCGATGGGCTTCGATAAGTCTCAACGGATATAATTTATAGGGTTATAAATAGAAATTAAATTTTCTTAAACT